GACGGTTCTGGCATTGGGAACTAGCCTGAGAAAACAGCGAGGTGGAGAAAGGGAGTTCCTGCCAGGTTTGGAGATCAGTAGTGGAAGAGAAACCGTTTTCAGATGATACGCTACCAAGTTTAGTCCGTTCAGTTTATCTGTCACCATGACAATAAATGCCTAAGCTAAATTTAGTGATAATTGTACCAACAAAAATAGTTCAGTGTTATGTCGACTGTGGCATGAAGACTGGGGAAATGCATCCAGGTAGAGCAAATGACAAATGTCCCAGCCCTCGGAACAAAATGAGCTTGGTGGGGCAGGAGGTAGTAGGTAGGAGCCCAAGCGTTCCAGGAACAGAAAAGATGCTTCTGAGGCTGGAGCTTGGACAGAAATGGCAGTGGGTGGGGTGTGGTGGTGGGGGTACTTTCAGTCAGAGATGCCGGCAGGGCCACGTCTTGCAGGACCTCACAGGGCAAGACGAGATTTTATTCCACGTGCAATTAGAGGCCACTAGAGAGTGGAAAAAGGGGAATGACCTGATCTGTTTCTAAAGCTGTCAAAATGTTTCTTCTTTTTTAAGAAAATAATAAACATATAAATTATATTTAGATGCTGAAAATATTTTTTAAAGATTCATTTATTTATGAGAGAGAGAGCGTGTGCACATGAGCTGGGGGGAGGGGTAAAGGGAAAGGTACAAGCAGACTCCCCGCTGAGCATGGAGCCTCACAAGGGGCCTGACCCCAGGACCCCCAGGATCATGACCTGAGCTGAAGTCAGATGCTTAACCGACTGAGCCACCCAGGTGCCCCTGAAAATATTTTATATTTATTTTAAAATGAATATGGGGAGTGCGCCTGGGTGGCTCAGTCAGTTAAGCATCTGACTCTTGATTTCAGCTCAGGTCATGATCTCAGAGTCATGAGATCAAGCCCCAAGTCAGGATCTGCACTGTGGAGCCTGCTTAAGATTCTCTCTCTGCCCCTCCCTATCTACCCCCCTCTCTCCCTTTCTAATAAATAAATAAATACATAAATACATAAAAATTTTTTAGAATTAAAATGAATACAGGTATTCAAACTTTCTCTGAAAAAGTTTAAAATTTACAAAATTCAATACATCTGTTTGTACATATTTTAAACATATTCCAATCTTAGCTGAGTGTTTGAATTTTTTCAGTCCTAAATTTCAACATCTTATGAACGTCTTCATGCTTTAAAGTCTTTACTTATATTCCACAGGATTAAATATACATAATTTATTCCTTTCACAAAAGGATTATGAAAAATGGAAGCAATTTCGTTAAGCAGTCATTATGTTAGCTAAAATATTCCTTAAGTACACAATCCAGACAACATACTGAACACCTTATAAAGGAATGCTGTCTATCATTGCACCCAAAAGAGCCCATGTAAAGACAAAAGACAAAAAAAAAAAAATAGTTACTATTTCACTTGAATTTCCAAAAACAAAATCAGTCCAAATTGATATGCATTTAGTTCTAAAAAACCTTATAAAACCACTCATCAAAGTGGAAGAATATGCCATTGGCAAGACATACACTAGCCAGGGCGCCTGGGTGGTTCAGTTGGTTAAGCGACTGCCTTTGGCTCAGGTCATGATCCTGGAGTCCCGGGATCGGGTCCCACATCGGGCTCCCTGCTCAGCAAGCAGTCTGCTTCTCCCTCTGACCCTCTTCCCTCTCGTGCTCTCTGTCTCTCATTCTCTCTCTCTCAAGTAAATAAATAAAAAATTTAAAAAAAAAAAAAAAAGACATACACTAGCCAAATATTCCACACTTTTTATATAGAGAGTGTAGTCACAGAAATTCAGCTGGCTTTATATTTCCTATTGAGTGAGAGTAATTTGTCATAAAATGGAATGGGGGTGGCAGGATGCCTTAGACAGTAAGACTATTAACCATTTTTGCAGATGACTCCTTTATACATTCTGTTTCGTATGTTGAAAATAGTTATGTATTTATTTTTGGATTATATAGCTAACACAAAGGAGGTATTTCAAGAAGAAACTTACAAATTTGGATCATCTCATCAAATGAAGAATGGCAAAAAACTCTTCTCTTTAACTTATTGAGTGCATGAAATATTTAAAGAAATACTAGTTTTGATGGCTTTAAGAAATGTGGTTAGAAAATTAATCTTGTCTAAATTAATTTTGATAGTATTTTGGCAGATGTATATTTAAAAGAGATTATTCATACAATACTATATTTTAAAAGTGTAATTTAGGGGTTTTTATCTATTGAAACTTGAAAGAAAATATTCAAATTGTAATGAAAGTTAGAAATTATTTTTTATAATATTGTTGTTAAATTTGACATGTATTTTACCAGACTAGAAATACAGCACTCTTAATTAATTGGAAACTTAAAGCTTTTTATTATAATGAAACATTCATTTCTGTTGAGTCTATTGCTGGTTTTGAGGCCCCAGAGAATTCCATTGCCGGCTTTCCCTAAAGACTGCAGTCCTGCTTTAGTACAGGTGGTTCGGAGCAATTAACGATTGCTCTCTGGAAGTCTGCTTGATTTGGAGGGGGTGTCCAGACCTAATGGATAAGAGTGAAGTGATCAAGTAGTGATATTTGCCATGGATGTGTCAAAGAGAGGCTGTTACGCAAGTACCCCAGAGCTGCCATCCTCATTTTCATCTCTTAAGATTTGGCCAACCATAGAATGTCCTCACACATTTGTAAGACTAGGGCGTGCTTCTGTTATGTGGCTTGTGGTTTGCAGTGATCACAGTAGGTTGAAAGTGGTTTTGTTTTACTTTGTGTTCAAAGTCTATATGTGATGAGACGTAAAGCAATTCGATATTCCAGTACTTCATTCCTCTTTAGACCAGAGTTTTTCAATGTATAGGTCTCAAAAAAAGGTGAGTGGGTCAAAACAAGCATTCTTTTTTTTTTTTTTTTTAAGAAATAGAATAGAATACAACGGAATAGAAAGCATCAGAGAACATCACAGGTGGGAAGAGTAGGGATTGTTTTGTGAATCTTTTCTTCCAGCGGTATGTGTATATGGGCCACATTGTGATGTAAAATGAATTACTCTAGGGATGCCTGGGTGGCTCAGTCAGTTAGGCGTCTGACTTCGGCTCAGGTCATGATCTCAGGCTCCTGGGATCAAGCCCGGCATCAGGCTCTGCTCATCAGGGAGCCTGCTTCCCTCTCTTTTTGCCTGCCTCTCTGCCTACTTGTGATCTCTCTCTCTGTCAAATAAATAAATAAAATCTTTAAAAAAAATTAAAATAAAATAAAATGAATTACTCTAGGTTATGATGAAATCATTTTGAAAATCACTGGTTTAGATCTTACTATTTTTACTTCTGTGAAGAATAAGCTACAACATTGTTTTAAACTGACACTGACCTCTGAGAAATATCTGTGGTCCAAATCTTTAGTCCAAAGACGTCTCATTTCAGTTTTCTGTCTAAAGACCTGGGCAAAGTTTCTAGGCCAATATATGGATGTTGGTATATGTTATCCTGGCATATGGTTTAGTTGTTGATTTGTTTGACCCTTAGAAACTTCCTAGGAGGCTAAATTCTATAACAGTCTCATGAAATATTTCAGATTGCCTAGGAAATGATAAACTCTGTGTCATAATGTCATTATTGGTTTTTTGCATTTTATATTTTTATTTTTCCTTCTTTATAATCATGAGCATTAGTTATTTTACTATAGCAATTTAAATGCCCATATATTTTAGGAATCCATGATTCTAATATCTCCTGAAACTATCGTAGATAGCCATTTTCCAACGCATTTATAATTAAATCTGATTTGTAATAAATGATATCCCAATTTAATTCTAAATTTGTATATATTCTTGTTTTTCATCTCTCCTTACCAGATGTTGTTCACCACATTCAATGCTATTTCCATTCCCCTAAAACATAACATTTATACACTCATTTATTTATATATCGGTAATCAAGCAAATGTTCATTCCTTGGGTGAAGCTGTAATGTCTATCTTGAAGATATGTTTTGTGAATAACTCTTTCCCCATCACCACCTGTCCCTACCAACTTGGTTGTTTTTGTCATTCCTGTAATGTATTAAGTTTCAAAATACTTCCAAGTCCAGAAGTATGTCCATTACCAAGCTTTGAGTTATGACTGAAATGCCCAACATTTTCCATTTCATTAGGTTAAGGCATTATAGACAACTCAAATTTGTTCAAGATTGAGATATGTCCTGTCTACTAATCACCTTTAACACTTTTGTTTCAATTAATGGCTTTTACTCTAGTGGATATCGTGGCTGTAATGGGATGAAATATAAGTCATTAGCCAGAATGGGTCAGAATGGGGATCAAGAAATGTCTTAGAACCTGAAGAGTGCCTTCCAGGGCTGAGTGGCTGTAGCTAGGGGGACAGGACAGCAGAAACCAGAATGGAAGGAAAGAATCTAAACAAGAAGTTAGTTGTATTATCAACAGAATTTGTCTTCTTAGTTCAGATTTTCCCTAGTACTTGATACCAATGTACAGAGATACTTGAAGTGTATCCTCTGGATCAGCAGAACTTTTTAGAAATCTATATTATCAGGCCCCATCCCAGAACTATTGAATCAGAGTCTTTGGGGCAGGGGGCCAGTAATCTGTGTTTTAGCAACCTCAGCAGATGATTCTTATGCATGCTAAAGTTTGAGTACCACAGCTAGAGAAAATGTTGACAAATGGACCTCATGGTAATACTGGTATTGAATAAAACTATATTTTAAATGTAATTTTACACTTTCCTTAGCATTTAGCTTAGATGGATGTCTTAGAAGTATTTGTTGTTGAAAAGAATACCATTAACCAAGACTAGTCAAGAAAAACATATAAGAGCTTAAAAGTAAGTGAGATATATTTAACAGTGGATCAAGGAGAAAAATAAAACAAATGGCCTTATGTTGTGTAAAAGTTTTCTTTGCATTTGCTTTTATAGAACAATGACTCACTCTATGCTAACACTAGGAGCTGATTATATATTTGTTCTGTAATTCTAGGAGAGCATTTACATTGAAATACCTCTCTCTAATCCAAAAGAGAAAATGATTCACTTAGATGTGCAGTTATCCAATGCTGCCCTTAATGGATTTAAGCAACTTACATTGCACCCACTAGAATGTATCAACTATGTCCTACAGTATTCTCCAGCAACTACAGGCTGTAGAGATGAAAGGTATGGTTTGAGTGTGGCATTATATTTTATTGTTGATCCTTTGAAATAAAGCCTTCAAAATGATTTTAAGTGACTTGTTCGAGTCTACTTAAATAAAAGATGGCAGAGCTGAGATACCAGCCCAGTTATAATTTTATTTATTTATTTTTTCCAGTTATACTTTAGACTGTCACAGGTTCTGTCTCTGTTTCCCCCAAAAGTGACCACATGCTGATAGTAAAGGAAGGTCTCCAGAGTTGCATGTCACTTGAATGCCTTCACGTGAAAATATACAGGTGTTTAATTCAATGAACTAAATTGGATTTAATCACAGAAAGCAGGACTTTTCTTGTTATTGCTCCTGTAAGACATTTGAATTCATTAACATTTAAATATTTTTATTCACTCAACAGACATTTATTAAACAGATATTAATGATGACACTTTTTCTGAATAATGATCTTCTCACCAAAAGTGAAAAATTTTAAAATATATCTACAACAAGAGTAAAATGTGTCACAGAGCAGTTGTCAAATATTGTATTTGAAACCACCTATTTGGGATTTTTTTCTGCCAATTTTATTACACAAACTAAAACCACTGACAAGATTTTGTATATTTTTCTCCACCAGTGTTATTTTTCAGCCTGATATGGCTCCTGAGTTCTGGTATTTACTGAGATTAACTACTGAATTACCGAAATCAACCACAGTACCAGAAATACAATGTGACCTTGGAAAGTAAGTTCCATTTAATAGATAAAATTATTTCGTGGAAGGAAAAAAAAATGTATCTAAAAGAATATTGTTGTAATCCACTTAATCTCTTTTTATAAGACATAAATATATTTTTAGTAATTGATTTTCCTTTCTAGGGAAGGTTTGATATTTAAACTACCCCCTGGAAAACTTAAGTGAAAGAAAAACAAATTAGGACTTAGTAAGGAGAGCCTTTTATTCAAAATGATTATTGCAAGGGAGAGAAAGGGGCTATTTAAAGAGTTGGAGAATGCAGATCTCAGAAATCTGCAAGCATCTCAAAATCAAACAGGAAAAGCTAAAGGTGGGACAAGGAGAGATAAGCAGACTCCGGAGGGAAAGCTGGACAAGGAAAGGAAAATGACTGGTGGTGACTGATAGGAAAAGGATTGTCCTGTGGTAAGCGGATTCCCAGGAGAAGCCAAGGAAAGAGGCATGTTCCCCTTTATTTGTGCTTGCTCAGGCTTGGGGACAAACAGAGCGCAGGGGCCCAGAGGAAACATACAAGGCTGACTAAAGTTTGGTCAAGGCAAAGCAGCGGGTCAGCGATGGACAGTGGAGAATACTTTGTCATTTGGCTAATACCATGTGCCCTTGAGATATGACCATTTATATTTACATGGTTGAGCTCTTATTACATGTCTGGTACCAGGTTTGATGCTGATACATAGGGGTAACCAAATCACAATTTCTAGTTTTATTTTTTTTAAGAGTTATTTATTTATTTGAGAGAGAGAGAGAGAACACAAGCAGGAGGACTGGCAGAGGGAGAGGGAGAGAAGCAGACTCCCAGCTGAGTGAGGAGCCTGACACAGGGCTCAGTCTCAAGACCCTGAGATCATGACCTGAGCTGAAACCAAGAGTCGGACACTTAACCAACTGAGTCACCCAGGCGCCCCCACAATTCCTACTTTTATTTTTATTTATTTTTAATAACTCTATAGAGATTGCATTTTATTGAGGAATGGAAATCCAATATGAAACAAGTAGAATTCTAAATAGTTTATGGGCCTCAGATCAGTTATACAAAGCTCAAGGTGACATTTATTTACTTTATATTTTAGTGAGCAGTTTTGATTATGTCAGATACAATTGAAAACATGCTTCCATGAATTACTATAGAGTAATTCCTTATAAAGGTGAGGTAATCCCTCATAGCTTAATAATAAAGGTCCTTATTAAATCAAATATTCTTGAAATCATTTTGGTTTCTAATATGTGTAAAATACATTCATTATTATCATTTCAGGGTCACAATTTCTTTCATTCGGGATGAGGATTTTTTGAGCCATATCATCTTGAAATTCTAGACCCAAAAGTTACTATATTGTTCACAGATATAAACTACATGAATGTTTTTTAAGACTAATACGCCTATTAGGGGGATTTGTCTCAGTTTCAAATGGGGTAACTGAGGTTTACAGATGCTAAGTGATTTGCCCTAGGTCACTAAATGTAGAAAAGAGACTAAGGAGAATGTTCTTGTATACAATTTTCCAGATTCAAACTAGTGGATTTACATAGAAAATCCAATGGAAATCCAAAGATTTGCCCTACAAACCCTTAAAAGATAATCTCTAAACAAATAAATAACATTTGTGACTATAAAAACATGCCAAAGTCTCTACATTCTCTAGCAGAAATATCCTTTGGCCTCTTTCCTGCTTCATATTACAGTATCATACACGATTTTATTAACAATACTTAACAAAGGGTGATTAGGAAATATGCGGGTCTGCAAGAGGATTTGGTGCAATCTTACTTCAAACAAAATACAGCATGTTAGGCCTGAAGGCAAACCTAAAATACCCTGGAACTACCGTATGTGAAAGAAACAACATGCATGTGTAATAACATAAAGGGCTTTTACTTAAATATAACTTATAGTATTGGGCTGATTTTAACGGCCCAGTAGATCCTCCAGTATTCTTGTTTTTGTTGCCATTGCAACTTGTCTTTCCTGCATTTCAATCACCATGGATAAATGAAACTTTAGGTCTCAAGATTTTTTTTGTCCAAAGGATGATACACATTCGTACTTTTAAAGAGCATGTGCACTAGTGGGCAAATCAGTACCTCTTTGTTAATTTCTCTCCCTTAGCACTTCAGAAGAGTGTTGAATTCTCCCAATGCTAGATCTGTAGCCAAATAAATCTGTAGCAAGTGATTTATTAAGGAAGTGGTCCCATTAAGAACAACCTGTAAGAGAATAGGGGAAGCAGGATAAGAAAAGGGAAGAAGCTAAGCAAGGGTGTGATTGCAGGTATGGTCCCAGACTATCTGATCCTGCAGAGAGCTCTGTAGCATAAATCACATCTCAGAGTTTGTCCTGTCTTGATGCAGAGATGCTTGGCTTTTGAATTCCCATACTAGACATTATAAGCTTCCTTGGGAAGAGGTATAAACTCCCAGGCACTTCTACTGTCTGTACAGTTGAGGAGATAGCAGGACCCAAGGGCAATCATCTGAAGGTCTCAGAAGGAAAATGAACAGCAAGCGTGTAGAAGTTGGGGTCTGAGGGTAGAGAACTGGTAAAAATCTTCCAGGGGAACTGGGTAGGGTGCCAGCAGTGTCTACTTTAACTTCCTAACAAACTTATTTCTACTTTTATATTTTTTCTTGTTTTAAAAATATATTAATGTATGAAAACTATATATGTATGTAAAATTATTAACAAATGTAATACACATATGTGAAAATATTTAGCACAACCAGTTTTACAATCATTTTTTTTTTTCATTCCACTAACAGGTGTCCACCTTTTCTCTTTCTTTTTGAGTTCTTACTACTTTTGGTCATGTTCTAAAGCGTAATTTCTTTTTATCTAAGTCATACTGTATGTAATTAAAAGTTGCATAATATTAATAGATGTTTGATAATAACTGCTTTTTTAGCCAGCCTTATTCTGGATCCCTATCCTCTTTGGAAGTCTGATGGCCATTAATTGTATCCAATGTTTTTAAAATGTTTAATAAATTGGTGTGGTTCTATTTTCATACATTTTCTAAGCAGTTGGAGTCTCTTTCAGTATGGAAACACATGACTTTCAGTTTCTGGAAGTCTCAAATTATGCCATCTATTTTCTCTCTTCCTACAACATCTGTGTTTTAGTTTTAGAACTTGGGGGCTATTTTAATTTTCTTATTTTTTGGCCTTTTTTTTTTTAACCAACATCTGTGTTTTAGCATGCAGATAGATTTACCTGAATTTATCTTCCATTCTTTTTGTTGAATTTTCATGCCAGTTATCAACATCTGAAACCATTTTTGTTGTTGTTTGGATGTTCCTTTTACATATTTTTGGTTTTTTTTTAAATCACAGTGTTCTGTTCTTATTTCATGTTGGTAATATTTTTTCTGATATACTTAAGATATTAATGGTCATGGTCTTTGTCTTTAATTATAAATTTTGTTCTCCTTTTTTCCTACTCAAAACTTTCCCTGATACTTGTTTTGCTCATATTTAAGGATTTATTTATTTAATTGAGAGCAAGAGAGAGTGGGGGTGGGTGGGTGAGGCAGAGGGAGAGAGAGAATCTCAGGCAGACTCCCTGCTGAGTACAGAGCCCAATGCAAGGCTCAAATTCACGACCCTGAGATCATGACCTGAGCCAAAATCAAGAGTTGGACGCTTAACCCACTGAGCCACCCAAGCACCCCTTGCTCATATTTAAATGTGACACTCTGTAATGATAGTCGGGACTTATTGACCCATTCATGTTGTTCTATGTACCATTCTTCATTTATTTTCATTGCTGCAAAAAAAAAAATCCTTTTTATTGTTGATCGACTTTGGGGTTTTTTTTTTCCCTGTTTGGTATATTATGAAATATGTTGTTTATAACATTGTATATGCTTTTGTTGCACATTTGTGCTCATTTCTATTGGGTACAAACATAGGAATGCAATATCACTGTACTCTAGTGGATAACAACAAAGAATTCAAAATTGGTTGTACTTATTTACACTCCACTGGCCATATAAGAATTGTACTTGTTTCACATCCTCAAGAACATGTGTATGGTAAGACTAATTTTAACCATTGTGATGTGTGTAAAGTGGTACATTGATGTACTTTTATTTTTTTAAGATTTTTAAAAAAGATTTGTTTATTTATTTGAGCAGGGGGGAGTGGAGAGGGAGAGAGCAGGGGGAGGGGCAGAGAGAGAGGGAGAGAGAGAATCTCAACAGACTCTATATTGAGCCCAGAGCCCAATGCAGAGCTTATTCCCATGACCCTGAGATCATGACCTGAACTGAAATCAAGAGTCGGATCCTAACTGAGCCACCCGGGTGCCCCTTCAGATTTTGTTTGTTGAGTAATCTCTACACTCGAACTCACAACCCTGAGATCAAGAGTCATACACTCCTATGACTGAACCAGCTAGGCACCCCTATGTCAATGTACTTTTAATTTACATTTCCCTCATGACTAATGAGGTTGGTCTGCCATATGTTTATCAGCCATTTTGATACAGGCTTTTCTGAAATTTTTGTTCATGTCCCTTGACTATTTTACTATTAGTTTGTCTGTAGTTTCCTTTATTTCTTATAGTTCTTTATATATATTGGCTACAAACCTTTGTGGGTTATATATGTTGCAAATACCTTTTCTTGTGAATTTCCTTTTCTGTCTCTTAAGGGAGTCTTTTAATGACATTAAATTCTGAATTTCAATGTAGTTTATTATTATTACTATTATTATTATTTGTTCTTATTCTGACATCATTAAGAACTTCTGTCATTTCTCAAAAAAATATATTGTCTATACTTCTCATATTTAGATCCACAATGTACATGGAATTGAAATCTGTATGTGATGTGAGACAAACATCAGTTAGGAGGTCATTACACTAATTCAGGACCAAGATGACAGCAGGTTAGACCAGAGGATTGCCAGTGAGTGTGGAAAGACGTGTTCAGTTATGGTTTATTTTTTTAAAGTAGAGCTAATGAGTTTTGCTGGCTACTAGTATTTGAGGCATAAGGAAAACAGCAGGGCATGAATGACACTAAAGTTTTTGACCTGAGCAATTGGAACTAGAGATGTGACATTAACTGAGTTAGAGGATACTATAAGAAAAGCTGGTTTCAGGGTAGGTATCAAGAGCTCAGCTTGGCACCTGTAAATTTGAAGTTTCTATTAAACATCTGAATGATAAGTAGGCAGTTTGAGAAAAAGCCTGGAGTACAGTGGAAATATTCATGTTGGAGATACATTACTTAGTTGTTCCCAGGTTTATGTCAAGCGTAAGCAGAGACGAGTGGAATAAATAGTTTTAAGCAGGACTCAGCACTTTTAAGTCAGAGACAGCCTTAATTATAATCTATGATTTGCCTTACAGATTATTATTAATGAATTTCAGAATGATCATGGTCACTTACTAAATAATTTGCAAAATGGCATTAATTGAATTCAGTCACCCCAGGAACCTTTACATATTAGAGGCATTTTTTGTTTTATCCTTTTATGGTAAGTGCATTCTTCCCAGTGGTTCATGATATTTTCTCATCACCAGTGTTTGGCACTGTCTTTTTTTTTTTTTTTAAGATTTTATTTATCTATTTAGAGACAGAGAGAGAACACAAGTTGGGGGAGGTTTGGAGGGAGAAGGAGAGAGAGAATCTCAAGCAGACTCCCCACTCAGCTTGGAGCCCAACGCATGGCTTGATCTCACAAACCTGAGATCATGATGTGAGCTGAAATCAAAAGTCAGACACTTAACCGACTGAGCCACCCAGTCGCCCGGCACTGTGGTTTTTTTTGTTTGTTTGTTTTGTTTTTTAGTGTCTTTTTATTTTGAAAGAGCTTAAGATTCACAAGAAGTTGAAAAAATAATTCAGAATTCACACATACGCTTCGTCCTGGAAATGGTTTTTAAGGTGCTACCACTTGGTTCACATTAAAATTACCTTCTTGGTGCATCTGCATGGCTCAGTTGGGTAAGTGGCCAACATTTGATTTTGGCTCAGGTCATGATCTCAAGGTTCTGGGATTGAGCCCTGCATGGGGCTCTGTGCTAGCAGGGAGTCTGCTTCAGGATACCTCTTTCCCCCTCTGCCCTCCACACGCTTGCTCACTCTCTCTCTCTCTAAAAATAAATAAATATTTTTTAAAAAATCATCTTCTTGTTTTTCTTTGACAAGCAATGTTATTTTAATTTTCCCTTCTTATTCTGTATTAATAAGTTTGAAACAGTCTTGATGAAAAAATATTTTATCGTGACTGTTTAGAAATAAGTATAACAACATTTTAGACTCAAGAAATTTAATTTTGTCCCTAAGTAATAAATATGTGCATCAACAATCCTCAGTATATACATTTGTAATTACAAACTTCATTTCGCATTATTGGGAAAACTAGCAATTAAAGAAAAGACTTATTAAATTCAATTCAATTGAAAACCTTTTCCTGGATGAACAATGAATCAAGTACCTCTTTAGTTAATATATTTTGCTTCTTGGTCCACTGGCAATCACAGGCTACATACACTTCTTACTTTTTGTATCTTTGCCCATTTCTAATGTCATTAAATTATATTAATCTTTGCAATGAAATTGATTTTAATTCCCACAGAACTTATACTGTTTCTCACTTTTTTAGTTTCCACATATAAATAAGATCACACAGTATTTGTCTTTCTCTGTCCGAGTTATTTCACTTAACATAATGTCCTCTAGGGGTGCCTGGGTGGCTCTGTCGGTTGAGCGTCTGCCTTCCATTCAGGTCATGATCCAAGGGTCCTGGGACCGAGCCCCACGTCGGGCTCCCAGCTCAGCGGGGAGCCTGCTTCTCCCTCTCCCTCTGCTCCCCTGCTCCTGCTCTCTTGCTCACTATCTCAAATAAATAAAATCTTTAAAAAAAAAAAAAACCAACATAATGTCCTCTAGGTTCATCCACGTTGTCAACAAATGTCAGGATTACCTTCTTTTTTAAGTTTGAGTAATATTTCATTGTATATTTCATGTTTTATTTATCCATTCATCTGTAGAAGAACATTTAGGTTATTTCCATATCTTGGCAATTGTGAATAATGCTGCAATTAATGTGGGAGTGCAGTTATGTCTTCAAGATACTGATTTCATTTATTTTGGGTATATACCCAATAGTTGGTATATACCCAGTATTTGGGATCCAATTGTTGGATCATATAGTAGTTTTCTTTAATTTTTTGAGGTACCCCCCTCTTGTTTGCCATAGTTGCTCTACCAATTTACATTCCCACCAGTGGTGTACCAGTGTTCTATTTTCTCCACATCCTTGCCAACACTTACTATTTTTTTAAATGACAGCCATCCTAACAGGTATGAGGTGGTATCTCAGTGTGGTTTCACTTTGTATTTCTACAGGATGGCAGTTTTCATGCTATACATCAAAAGGTATTAGAAATGATGGTAAAGTGAGAATTATGAATCCTCTTGATTATTCTTTGCTTTGAGCATAAGTATCAGCCACTTTTTTTTTGTAATTACTCATCATTGGTTTGGATCTTTTTGATGTAATGGACAGAACTTTGTGAATTTATTACTCATTGTTATTATTTCTAAACTGTGTTAACTTTTTTGCCTGAATTTAACAGTTATAAAATAATGAGTAAATATTGCTCCTAAAACTGGGATATATTCCACTACCCAGTGTGGAATAACATTTAGTTTCCAAAATAGAAAATCAAGGACTAATTTAGCAAAATGTCATTAGTTCATACATGATTATTCTTATTTTGAAACTCACATAAGTCATTGTATTAGCTTCCTAAACCTGTCGTAACAAGTACCACACACTTGGGTGGATTAAAACAGAAACATATTGTCTCACTGTTCTGGAGGCTAGAAATTTGAAGTCAAGGTTTCAGCAGGACCAAGTTCCCTCTGAAACCAATAAGAGAGAATCCTTCCTTTCCTCTTGTGGCTTCTAGTGCTTACCAGCACTGGTCTTCCTTGACTCAGAGGTGCGTCACTCCAGTCTCCACCTCCATTGCCATATGCTCATCTTCTCATGTGTCTTCACGTTATCTTCTTATAACGACACCAGTCATAAGGGATTAAGGGCCATCCTACTCCAGTATGATCGCATCTTAACTAATTACATCTGCAGTGACCCTCTTTCCATATTCTGATGTATTGGGAGTTAGAACTTAAATACATCTTTTTTAGGTATGCACTTCAACCCATGACAGTCATCAAGTTTATAAAATTATCATTGAACAAGTTTATGAGTAAGTTTACTCACTTCATTTTTCCTTCCAGGTATGTCACTCAGATCATTCCTTTAGTTAATCCAACACATGAGACCTTAGAATTGCAAGCAACAAACAGTAATCCTGAAAATTTTGTCTTGGATGTTAACAGATCATCGGTAAGTGTATTTGGAAAGCCAAGTAACCTACCACCACTAGAGCATTTTTCAATACTGATTTTGGGACACCATGGAGTATTATCATTTGATTTATTAATTAATAAGGTCTCAATTGCTTAAAATTTAAAAATAGAATTTATATACATATATATCTCCCCCCCAATTTTAATTGATCAAAGAAACCAATATCGCATCCATCTAAATTTTTAAAATTCTGTATGCTAGCATCATACTCATTATCACTGGACTCTAAATGAACTGGTTGTGCTCTATTTCGGACCATTTTAGTAATCAGATTTGGAAATCATTCCCCAGTAGTATGATATTGACTCAGCAATCTTTCTATGTTTCCAGGGTTCCAAGAGGCTAGTTCCTTCCAGCACTTGATGAGTTCCTGCCCATCACCTGTCCCCCACTTCCAAACAATGTGAACAGTTCTGACTCTCTCTCCTTTCTCTACCCCATTTACTCATTCCTTGGTCCCTAGCATAGACTAGAACCAGTCAATGGGCCCCAATCACTTTTCTCCTCCCATAAGTAACAAAACAAGATCTGGAGGTTTAACATCAATCTTTGTTTCCAAGCATATGATACCAAATATGTACAGTGAATACCAAAACCGTGTTTTCAGGTAAACTTCAAAATGGTAATGGTGATAGATTATTTTCTTCTGAGCATCTCACAGTAAATCATGAAGCCCTGTTAAGTAGGTATAGTATTTAAATAAAGTCTTTTACTATTTGCTGTTTAGTGATTGTTTAAGAAATCTACAATGTGATTTCATTTGTATCTTACTACCTATCTCCTGTCAATGACTGGTTGCCAATTAATAATAATATGATATGAAATTAGTTCTTAACTTCCATAATGTGTCAAATTAGATATCACTAAGTATTATATTGCTAACACCAGTTTCTAATGAGGAATTTCAGTTATTTGTAAACTATATCCTGGTCACCATATTCTGTTTACTTTATGGAAAATACAGTGTTAAGTAATACAAGCATGTGTGTACATTTTAGTATAGTTATTCTAAGATTAAACTATATACACAATTGTGTGTATATAGTTTAATCTTAGTGCTTAATCGTAATGCTCTGCATTATTATTATATATGCTTGTGCATATATAAGCACAAACTTATACTTTCTACCTTGGTTCTTATGTTAATGATTTGCTACATTTGTCTTCTCTTACATTTCTTACTGTTCAGTCTGAAGGTAAGTTGTAGGCATCATGCTATTTCAACACTAAATATTTCAGATTATATTTCTTAATAGCGTAATTAATCTCCCACATCATCTAGTATCCTGTTCAAATTTAAGTTTACTCAGCTGTCCTGATAATCTTTCTCTCTTCAACTAAGATCCAGTGTAAACTCACATATTGGAATTGGTTATTATGATGACACTTGCTTGTAATTAAATGTTTGCAAATTTCCAAAAGGTCCTATATTTAACAGATTATCTATATTCCATTATACTAAACCAGTACATTTGCTGCAGAGAAATTCCAACCAATAGTGTTTATCTTCCTTTTCCTTGAAACCATGGGATTTTTCAGTGAATTTTAGGTGAAAATAAAGGAATTTTATTGAGTTCCTGGTTGGTTATATACACTATCTCAATCTGTGCTACGTGCTTCTGACATATATTTAGGGAAGAGGAATTTGAGGCCAGAGAAGCTAAAATACTTAAACCTCGTGGCTAGTAAGTGGTAGAACTAGAATTAAAATCCAAGTTAATATACTGGTATATGGTTTTTCTAATGAAGTAGATGATTTCCTTGTATCTCTCGATCTATCTAGAGAACTTTTTGCTAAACTGAAAGAATATATGAAATACAAGTTTTCTTATTTTTTTTGCTAAGGTTGATATTGAAATTAATTTATACTCATTATGTATGCATAAACTTAAGTGATTAACTATCAAAGGGAGAGCCAGCCTGAGATAAAAATATTTGCTATAGATAAACCACACATATGTAGATAGTAAGGAGGTGACTGTTCTAAATATAACAATGAATTGTATTTGTATTTCATGGTCATTATCAGAGCATTATTATTAAGCACTAAGTGCTACATTCTACAGGGATTTGAATGACACTGCTATATTGCAGTTTTATATTTTCAAAAGTTATCTGGCAAAATACAGTAGTGAAAAAAATAAACTTTTCAGACGTATGCCTTTTCATTTTATCATTCTGTGTTAATGTTAAATATTATATTATTCACAGTATAGCATTTTGATGTAGTTGCCGGCTTCTTTCACAATCTCTAAAGAGATAACTCATTCTAATACTGTTCAGACTCAAGTTATTCTAACAGGTCACACCTTGAGTGTGTATATGATAGGGCAAAAAGGAACACTTCATTGTATACTAAAGAAGCCTTCCTTACATCTATGCTTACTATCAGTTTATCTCTTCTGACATCACCAAGGTACAAGTTAGGTTCCCAGTGGTTTCAAAAGTATCTTGGGATGATCAATAAGCTATCGGTTCTTAAAAAAACATATATTTCTATTATTTGGGGTTCTTAGTTGGCTTTAAAATTTAATTCTGATTTCCTTTTATAAAGCAAGTAATTCCATGTGGTCATTGTCTGGGGGAAGAACATGGGGTAAACACTACTGAACACTGTTTACCATGGCCATTATACCAATATTCACCAAGCAGGCATACTAAGAATGGGTAACACGTACAAGGCAACATACTAATTACACGAAAATCAACCTGGCACACAAAGATCCTGACTCAAACAAAGCATTGATTTTTTTTCTCTCTCTCTCTGAATTTACACAGCTGACCATACCTCCTCACTCCATCAAAGAAGTATCTGTTCACTTTTATCCTTCGGCTCTTGGAAGAACTGGTCATCAAGTTTCTATCACCTTCCACTGTACTCAGGTATGATAGATTATTCTTGGACCAAGTCAAGTTCATTAAATTTCAATATCATCAATAAGTAAATCTAATTCATTCACTTGACATATTTTCTAAGCAAAACAAGTTCATTGTAAATGATTAATTAAATGAACTTTTGGAAATACGGTATACATTGTGCATGTGGAGGCATCTAAAGAAGGCATTTTTAAATCCTTAGATTACTTGAATGAAGAATGTACAACCAGATTTAAAATATAGGTATTTTAATGGAATGCCATTTTACTGGCATTTATATTTATTTTCTGACTTGTTTACTCATATTTTCATGAACTTAAAGATGCAACTGTAGGAAATGTGATCTTGCAAATATTGTATTATTTTTTCATTCTATTTCATCTGTACAGTGTTACTGATTAATAATAATTTTTTAAAAGCAATAGTTAAGGGGTGCCTGGGTGAGTTAGTCAGTTAAACATCCAACTCTTGGTTTCAGCTCAGGTCATGATCTCAGGGTCATGAGATCAAGCCCCACGTTGGACTCTGTGCTCAGCGCAGAGTCTGCTTGAGATTCTCCCATCTGCCCTTCATCCCATTCGCACTCACTCTCTCTCTCTCTCTCTCTCTCTCTCTCTCAAGTAAATAAAATCTTTTAAAAAATAAATAAAAAATAAAACAACAGTAAGTAATAATTTTTTAAGCATCTCTAAACTTGCTACATGCCATTCTAAGAATTATAGCAACTCATTCTCACCACAATCCTGTGGTCGAAGTATCAATCTCATTTTCTGGATCAGGAAACAGACACAAAGAAATTAAGTTCAGGCAGCTAGTAAGAGGTTCAATTCAGACCCGAACCCAGGACATGTGACTTCAACCTGTCTTCTTGACTATTTTTGCAGCTACCTACAGATTGCTAAGTGATTATAACTCTCTTACTGCCAATAAAAATTTTACATAACTTTTGACAATTATTATTATTTTTTATTTCTTCAAGTGTTAGTGTGGAGGAAAGTAAATGGAGATATGTGCTTTAAATCCTACAGGACACCAAGGAGGTTACAAAACCCTGCCATCTGAGAGGCAGTGGAATCAAATATAATATAGGGGACCCCATGTCAGTGCAAGACCAGTGGGTAACTAGAGTATCCTCTTTTCCAAGAAAATGTGTAATTTACCTTCAGAAGAAAAAATTTGAGGCATTAAATTTCTTACATGATGACTGACTTTTATGTAAATTGAACCAATGCTCTGGAAGTATGCTTGATTCCCAATAATATTAAAGAGTAAAATACAATAATCCTTTTCATACAGAAGAGAGAAAGTGTAGTAGAGATTATTTCCTTCTACATAAATAATTTTAACAAGGCAGATCTTTTTTTTTAAGATTTATTTATTTACTTTAGAGAGAGAGTGCGCAAGGAGGGGGGAGCAAAGAGAGAGGGAGAGAATCTCAAGCAGACTCCCCACTGAGTGCTGAGCACGGGGGTCCACACGGGGCTTGATCTCACGGACCTGAGATCATGGCCTGAGCTGAAATCAAGAGTTGGAGGCTTAACTGACTGAGCCACCCAGGCACCTCTGGAATTGGATCTTTAAAGGTTGTGCTGTGTCTTCTTTCAAAAAAGTTGGAGGTAAAGATGGGTGGACAATATTACTTTTTTTTTTTAATGCACATGTTTGTTTGGATACTTTTTAATTTCCCTCTCTGAACCCAAGGGGATAATTTAAGCAATGCCAGGGTAGTTGTTGGATACTAGTGTTCAATAATGGTGGGATGTGGTCTAATTTAGCAGCTCTAATATTCCAGGCCACTTGGTGAAACGTGAAAACATGGCCTTCTTGTTTTTGTAGTTTGGCTCATTCCCAGTGGTTTAAAGTAACTTCATTTCTGTCCTCCAGGAATGATTTTTATTAAGTAGCCAAAAAAGTAAGTAATTTATGTAAAAAAGTTGTTAATATACTTGAACCCTGATGCTTGATTCTAGTCGTTCAATTGTGTGGAGTCAGGTTAGGACATTGTAAATGAAAATATAGTGCACTTGTATTCTGCTAGTAGAATCTCTAACTAAAAGTAGTGTAGGCATTTGAAGATATATGCTGATAAAATTTACCTTTAATCCTTCCTATGCAGAGGTAGCATTTTATGGATTTACTGTCACCACCTGTCCTAGTTTTGAAACAATCTTAAAAGTTTTCCTCTTTTATTGGAGGCTTGGACACACCTATGTAGTTTAAGAGATTATAAACTAGGTTATTGTTTGTTGGTTTTCAGTTTGTGACCTCTTTATTCATCTGGAAATTAGCAAACTGTTCAGTGCAGAACTGAGTCACAGTCTCTTGTACTCTCGGGACTTTTATTCTAAATGAACACAAAGGGAACATTTTCAAACAGTGCTTTGCAGGTTTGTGAAACCCAGATAAGAACAATGGCTGCATGCAGTCTCCTTCGTGTAACTTTTGAGCCATTCTTCCCTATCATGTCATAACAGAACATACACTATACTAGGCAGTAGGGATAAATAATATGGCATGCAGTTGTGTACACTTCCTTTTAATGGGATTTCAGTCTGTGCCTCACCATCTGAGCCTTCACGTGCTGAGTTTCATTTGAAATTCACTAGGATTTTGGAAACCTCATGTAGTGTTTAGTATCCAGTTTGCTGGATAAATTGATTTTTTTAAAAACCTTGAGCAGAAATACAAAGTTTTCATTAAGATTTCTCTTTTATGTTGCTATAAATAACCTTTTATGTATAGAAAGATGTTTAATATTTGAGTATTGGTCTTTTGCCCTCTTTTTTTTAGTGCAGAAATACATTGAATATTCCATAAAATCAAAAGGAATTTGGAAAAGAAAAAATACATAATGATACATATTATATATTAACAACAAAATGGGTTTTTTTTATAAAGATGCATTTATTTTAGAGAGAGCACAAGCAGGGGGGAGGGGCAGAGGAGGAGAGAGAGAGAGAGAGAGAGAGAGAAGCAAACTCCCCACTGAGCAGAGCCCAACATGGGCCTCGATCTCAAGACCCTAAGATCACAAGCTGAGCCAAAATCAAGAGTCAATCGACTGAGCCACCCAGGCACCCTGAAATGTTTCTTATCTACCAAGATTTTTATGCATATTACATTTGTTAAGTGTTGCAAATAAAATCTATGCGATTAGGATATATATGTCATGAATGTTTATCTTTAAACAGTTTAAAGAATGGATATTCCACCTCTCTGGAGTAGGACTGTTCCCCCAGCCTATAAACATAGAAAGAATAACCACATACCTCCGTCTTCAATCATCTATTGTTATACCTTTCCAAAATCCCACCAAGGAAGATGTTTTGGTCAATATTGTACTAACAAGTAAGTTTTTTTTATATTTTACATATGTTATTTTGTAATTATTAGTCAAACTTATTTTATCACAGAATCAAACCATATTAGAGATAATGGACAATTTCGAGATCCATTAGTTGTTTCAACAGCATTATTTTATAAAAGAGAAAACAAGGTATGAGAGATGAAATATCTTGGCTGAAATCACTTATAAACTTATGAATGGTGGAGCCAGAATCAGAAATTAGAAATCCATGTACCAAGTCAAGTTCTTCCAATTTTATCTGTAAAGCCAAATATGTAAAGTAATAGATTTGTAAGATTCTTATGACATGACTCAAATATGCCAATGCTTATTCCTTACAAGTTTTTAGAAATCCTAGTGTTCTGGTTTTGTTTCATTTGCCTCTTTTCTTTTTTTTTTAATTTTAGTTCTCATATAGTTAACGTACAGTGTTATATTAGTTCCAGATGCACAATATAGCGATTTGATCATTTCATACATCGCCCAGTATCATCATCATAGAAACACAGGGCTGCCATGTATCCCTTTGAATTAGTGTTTTTGTATTTTTGTGGTAAATACCCCGTCGCGTGATCACTGGATAGTAGGGTACTTCTAATTTTAACTGTTTTGATTAACCTTCCTACTATTTTCCGCAGTGGGTGCACCCTCTTTTCTATTTTCCGCAGTGGGTGCACCCTCTTTTCTATTTTCCACAGTGGATGCGCCCTCTTTTCTTTATAAATAGCATATTTGGATTAAATTTTGGTTCTAACAAAACTTGGGGTTTTTTTCATGTCATACTGAAGATACATGTTTTTAAATTAGATCATGTGAAGTTTCTGATCACTTTTTATTAAAAGACCAAATAATGGAGGTCTGAAAATCAACTCATTATGAGTTTTCTGAAACACATTTTAAATCTAACATTAGACATTACTAATTTTATCTTTTCAAATATTATTACTACGTCTACTAAAACTACTACTACTACCACAAATCATTGTAGATAGCTCAATTGTTGGGCCAAAAGAAATGCATACATGTTAAGGTTTTTGATATAAATAACCAACTTGCTCTCCAGGATGGTTATACTGTTGCAATCTGTGCTATCAGGAGTATATTACAGACATTACCTCTTTTCCTGAACCTTGTAAACCCTGACCAGTAGCATTCTCCTTAATCTCCATCAATCTGATTGAGGCAAAATTGTATTTTATCATGATTGCCAATGACTGTTTTTTTGATTAATGCTGAAGCTGAACACTATCATTGACCTGTTGAAGTTTTCGTCTTTCCTGATCATCTCCTCCTGCTCTTGGTATGAAATAATTAAGTAAAAATTGAGAACATAATGTCATCCTAATGTATAATTCCCTTGCGAAGACTTTGGCTGTGATGAGAAGGAGAGACATGCCAGTATTTACTAAAAGTTGATTGTAGACTCAAGGAAGTCAGCATTTTAATATGGAAGAGATGTGAGCATATGTATAGGCAGAAAGAAGCCAGGGTTGAGCAGAAGTCAAAGCTGTGAAGGAGGTGGGGCTTAACTGATGGGTAAGGCTCTGGGAGGACTAAGATCAGACTTGAAGTAGAAGGAGGAGCCCTGAACAGGAAGCGCATTTCTCCCTTAGGTCTCAGAGGGACTTGGGAATTAAGTGCAGTTGTGCTTATATTTTTATCTGCTGAGAAAAGGAGATGGAGTAAGAGATTTGAAGAGTGGCCCAGTGGGTTGAAATAATTGCTGGAGGGAATGGAGGAGGGAGCTGACAAAATTAAAATATGAAAGGTATTGTATTTGGCTGGGATTGGAAACCACAAATTTAGATAGGCACCAAGAAAATACGTGTTTATGAAGTTTGTACCACTTCTGGGGCTCAGAATTCCAGGTACGGGAACAATACGCAAGGCTGATAAATGGATCTGTCCAAGGAATGGAATTTTCAAGGCAATTGCAGCCAAATCACTTCATAACTATGAGAATGTTATAAAAAGCTATTGGGTCAAGATTGTTAACATTAGAAATAAATTATGAAGTAATTTGTGGCTTCTTAATTTTATTTAATTGGTCTAAAATGCTTTTGCTATATAACACACACACAAAAAAACCAGGAAGCTTGACAATGAAAGATTTATTAGTCTTTCGTATTTTAAAATAGTCTCTTTTAAGTAAACTCCCTCTCTCTTGAGTAAACATTCAGACCCTCAGGTTCTCCCCCTTCCTTCAACCTGAGGAGACCGGGGACAAAAAAAGACAACTTCTGCTATCTTCCTTCCCTTCACTTTCTCCTTTTCCTTTATGAAAATATTTCTCCTTTCCCTTTCTTGGTCATGAAGTCTCTCTCTCTCTCTCCCTCTCTTTTTCTCTCTCTCTCTTTCTGTCATAACCTCCTCCCTCTTTCTTCTGTGGGTTCTGTTTTTTCTAGCTACCATGTTCGTGTCTTCTTACATTCATATTCCTTGGCAAGTGGGCCTCATGATTTGGCCTGAATTGTTGAAGGACCACAAGGAAACATGACTGACAAGGTTAAAAATATTTAACCTGTATGCCAAATATACTCATTTAAAAAGGTACTAAATTAATACCTTCTGATTTAAATCTTTGCAAATGTCTTCAAATTACTTCATGATAGGACTGTGCAGTCCCTTGCTATCTTTCAGAAGATGTCAGTGTTTCTGGGGTGCCTGGGTGGCTCAGTTGGTTGGATGACTGCCTTCGGCTCAGGTCATGATCCCGGAGTCCCGGGATCGAGTCCCACATCGGGCTCCCTGCTCAGCAGGGAGTCTGCTTCTCCCTCTGACCCTCTTCCCTCTCGTGCTCTCTCTCATTCTCTCTCTCTCAAATAAATAAATAAAATCTTAAAAAAAAAAAAAAAGAAGAAGATGTCAGTGTTTCTGCAGATGCTACAGAATTCACAGAATCCCCTTAGGGAACTTGATAGCAAGACTTCAGAATATAGCACCAAGCTGGTGGTTGCTGCGAGAGGTCTTACAGTATTTCACATTCTGCATTCCTGATTTTTCTTTCAATAGGCAGACAGGTAGGTAAGATATATATGATATATAGGAAAAGATGTCCTTCAAAACACACTATTTTTCCAGGAAGGCAACAGTTTTAGAGTTGCAAGCTCATTCTCAAACTTTTATATTGCCAGTTCTCTAACGTCTTTTCTTCTGCTGGTATTTTAGCTATTTCCATTTTAATCACTTACCTCAGAAATATTGCCCTTTGACATTCAAGAATCTTTTAATTCTATTTAATTAAATTCTATTTAATTCTTTAATTCTGTATGTCGTCTCTAAGTTCTTTCAGTTGAACATCACACAAGGCAAGGTGTTGAAAAGGTAATATTTCAGGGGTCTATTCATATCTTAATTCATGCCACTTTTAAATGATGAATGAGGTTGGGTGACTCAAGAGGAGATGGCCTAAACACGCAGAGAATAGTAGAGACTTCTCCAAAGGAGACCATTAATGAGTCCCATGAGGAGCAGGATGCTACACAAAAGCTTCAAATAGCCTAGGAAACTCGTATTTGTTATACACTTACTTGGTACCACATTTGAGCTCTGTCAATGTGACTATACTCAATCTTAAAAAAAAACTCTGAGAAGCTTCTCAGATGTGGAATCTGAGGCTTAGAAATCTCCCAAAGCCATACAGTGAGTAAGTGATTGAACAGTGTCTTGAACTCATCCCGTCTAGCTTGTCTTCTCCAGGACCACCTAACTGACGTTCTAAGTTGTATGCTTACAGATGGTGCTTACAAATCCTTATACCGATGAGGCTCTAAAGAATGGTACTTGCCCCTCTTCTTGCTTCCTCCTCTAAGATCTCAGGGAACGAGGCCTCCCTCCATCCAATCAAAGGACCTCAGGAAATACCTCTGACTGCCACTCCTTTCGCATTTTCTCAGCTCTTCAGGTCTCTCCTTTCTCTTTTTGACTCTGCCATCAGACCCTGGCTCTGCCTTATCAACATATGCTTGGATTTTCTGTCTTGGCCTCCTTGTTCATCCTGGACATGTACCCTTGCTCGGTGACTGCTATCAATGGACTCAGTTCCCACAGTCCTCTCTGATCAGTAATTATGCCCTCCACCCCAATCCCTGCTCTCAAATTTCTACCCTACTTAGCCAGAAATAAAGGTGGAAAAAGGAAAGGTAGCCATGAATGGGTCTGAGTCAAAACGTTAGAAATTCGGGCCTGATGAATTTAGGAACTTAAGGACACATCTCCATTATAGGTATGTGTGTGCCCTTGCTCATATAACCACATTCCAAACCTGCTAATCTGTGCTAATAGCTTTATTCTTAACTAAATGACTATTTCAAAGTTGGCATATTTGTTGAGAGAGCAAGACTTGAATCTTCAGTCAATGATTATGTGTATTGAGCATCTATTTTATGCTGAAAACTGTCATACACACATTTCAAAATGACTATATCTGCAATATACATACACACATACATGTATACATTGTATATTGATCTCTTGTGGTATTCTCTTTGTGAAATATCACTATGGGTTATATACCTAAAAGTTATATAAATGAATGAAGCAGTAACTGATACATGTAAAGTAGCAATTTTCATTTCTCTTCTATTAAAATAGCTATAGTCTTGAGATTATTCACTCTTTCTACTGAATTCAAATTTAAATGCGGTATTAGTGATTTGATTCAAATGTTTAAGTGTAAGTGGATTGTTTTCCAGACATCAGTAGTTTTATTGAAGAGCAAAACAAAATAACATAGGGATAAAGGTGTACCTAGCAATTATCATATTAGTTTTGCAAATTTCAACTTCCATTTTGAGGGTTGATTGATGTAAACAAAACACTGTGTTGAGTTGTTGTTGACTCAGGGTTAATTATGACCATAGTGTTCACCAGCAGTAAAGTAATAAAGTACACACTGTAGTGTAGTTATGACATGCTAATGATACTTACAGGACAGGGAGAGGCAATGTCTAGTGCATTTGATTTGACATGTTAGAATTAGTTTATGAAAATCTTGTCCCTG